TGAAAAAAAAAAAAAAAAAAAAAAGGAAAAACATACTACTTCCTCCACAGCGTCTGTTCCTTCCAGATTGCTCTTGTCCTATTTACTTTGGTCTCTCTCTTCCATGCCAAGGTTTCCCCTGCCTCCCCGTGAAAGGCTAAGAAGTTCATTGGCAGCATCGGCAGCTCTGAGCACATGTGGGGCTGTGTAACAGGGGTGTCACACAGGGTGATCTGATAGCCATTGGCTAGAAAACCCAGTATGGTAGATTTTTACGTCTTTCTTTTAAGCTAGTCATCTTCCAATGCCGTCCCTGGAGGGAGAGGGTTTGCTTGCCCGAGTACTAGGAAATAAACTAAGCAGTGAGGGCTGGGCCTGATGGGTATGGTTTTCACATTCAGCATTAAAACATATTCATTCCTGTGCCCCTCATTTTCTATGCAGCACCCGTGTCCTCAACTGTGCCTGGTGTCCCCCCATCCAGATTTCTTCCAGAGTGGGAGGGGGCATGTGTGAGTTGGGAGAAGGGAATCTAAGACTCTAATTGCTTCCTAAATAGCTACCCCCACTAGTCTTTCTTATTTTAGGGCCACCCCCACCCCCTTCCCCAGCAGAGGGACCTGAGGCTGCCAGTTTCCTTGTCTTTGGCAGAGTCCCTCATGTAAATCACACGGTTGCTCGGCCTTCCCACGGTGGGCTTGGACTTGGCTTCCCCGGGCTGCCAAGTCATCACCACCAACCTCCTCTTCTTGTGACTGTGGTTTCTCATCCTGTTTTTCTCTACAGTGTGGGTTTATGCCTCCCTCTCTCCCTCTTTCTTTCTCTCCACCCCTGCTGTTTCTCCTTTAAATTCCTCTTCCAGAAGTTCTAGGGGGGGTTCAGGAGAGAGCAAAATTAGATGCATATGTTCATTCTGTTGTTGTAACCTGAACTCTCCCCTAAACTTCTGAAATCCAATCTGTTCCTTAAAATGTGGGGTGCGAGTGCTTCACAGAGCTACAGAATTCTTCAGTTTAATTTATTCCATAGACTCTGCTGCCTGTGGTCAAGTACTCTGTTGGAATCTGGGGTATTGATGTGGTCTCGGTCCTCACAAACAGAAGGGATGAACATACTCAAGGGAACACAGCACAACTCCACAATCCCTGACCCAAAATCCTTGGGCCAAATGGGTTTGGGGTTTGAGGAGTTACCAGAGTTTTGAAAGGTAATAGAGGGCCTATACCACTCAGTATTCTTAAAGCACTTTAAACACACTCTTGTTTCTGCAGGGAAATGTATGGATATTCTCACTATGTCGAGTAAAAAAATAAGTTTTTAAAAGACTATAAATAGGCTCCCATCCATTCAGAACACATTTCTAAACAAACTGAGCTAACAAATCAAATTTAGTTTTCGGGGTTGGGATTGCTGAGTTGCTGGAAAGGACTATGAACCTCTTTAAGCATGTTTGCTGCTAAACAAAATACCTTCCACTGAGTAACTTATAAATAATAGAACTGTATGTCTCACTGTTCTGAAGCTGGGGAATTCAAGAACAAGGTGTCTGCAGACTTAGCGGTGAGAGCTGTTTTCTCCTCCATGGATGGTTCCCTGTTGCCATGTCTTCACACAGGGGAAGGGCTGGACAACTCCCTATACATCTTTCATTCATGATTTTTTTTTAGCACTGAGGATTGAACTCAGGACCTTGCACATGATGAGCAAGTACTCTGCCACTGAGCTACATCCCTAACCCTCTTTATTTTTATTTTGAGACAGTATCTTGCGAAGTTACCCAGACTGGCCTCATACTTGCAAACTTCTTGCCTCAGCCTCTCAAGTAGCTGGGATTACACATGTGCCACTGTGCCTGATTCACACATCTTTTATAAGGTCACTGTGATGGCTTTTCATCTAGATGTCCCCTGAAAGCCTCATGGGGTCATAGGTGGGGCTTTTTCAGAGGTGGCTGGATCTATACTGTGTGATACTGGGATTGATTCATGGCCCAGTGCTAGGCTAAAGGATACTAGAATTAAGGGTGTGAATGCTTCCCGCCATAAGTAGTCAGGATAGGATAAAAGGGGCAGAAAGACGCCATTAAGGTCCCTTGTTGCTTTTGCTACCTTGTGGATGCCATGAACTGTTCTCTGCAATGCCCCTTTGCCAAGTCACCCTGCCTTGGAGCCAGCTGATTATGGAGTGAAACCTCTACAAACTGTGAGCTAAATAATCCTTTCCTTCTTTAACTTTGGATGTTGGCCATTTCGTCTCAGCAACTTGAGAAAAGTAACTAAGACAGTCACTAACTCTTTTCATAAAGGCTCCAACCTCATAAGTTGATCAGTTCTTTAAGGCACCACTTCTTAATGCCATTCTACTGGCAATCGATTATCAACACCGGAATATGTCTTCGGTGTATTCAGTATAAAAATGAAGTCTGCAGGGTCAGGACTTAGCCCAGTGGTGCTGCCACCTGCCTTGCCAGCTCAAGGTCCTGAGTTCGATCCCTGGTACAAAAAAACAACAAAACAAAAAAAAATTCTGCAGAAAGTACTGTGGGGAGTGCAGTAATAGACTAGAGGGAGAGGGAAAGGCTTCATGGAGGAGGTGATAGGTGAGCTAGTTGCTAGTTGACTAGATGCTCACCAGATGGGAAAGAGAATTATGGGCAGAGTAAGCAGCTCAAGTCAGGGTCCAGGGGTCTGATCCACAAAAGCACGTCCCGTCATGCCTTTTTCTTGAGAAAGCCACTAGGCAGCTTGGTGTGGATTCTAGAGCCAGGGCTCCTTTTCCACAGGAAGAATCCACCCATTCCAGCCAAGCCATGGCATGGTGGGAGAGATGGGGCTGCAGAAGTTGGCAAGAGCCAGTCATAGAGAGCTCTCTGGCCACACCAAGAATTTCAGGCCTCAGTCTGTAGGGCATCATTTTTCAAAATGTGGGCTTCAAACACTTTTAAGGAGCCCAAGAGGTAAAATCGTGTTTAAAATAATACTAACATATTACTTTGTTGACATTTGTAATGAGGACACAAAAGAAAAATTGAGGGTGGGGGGAAGCTTTATATAAGAACATACATGATGAAATAGTAAACTGGTAAATAGTAAATAGTAATTAAGATCTTTGATCCTTGAGTGTACACTTTCTAACATTCTGTATGATGAAATGGGAAACATTCATGAAACACTGTTGTTTCCCACAAGAGCACCTTGGCTACCGCTCTGAGTTGCAGGTGAAACCAGCCATCATTCATGGAGCACCACTTTTACTTGAAAGAATGACCACTTTCTCAAAATTGTGACTATTCACATTAGAGTACTAGGCAGGTATTTTCTTGAAAGTAAATGCAGTGAGCCTGCCACTTCCTGAAAAACAACTGACAGTATTTGTTGCTGGCGGAAAACATCTGAGCTTTTGAGCAAAAATTAAAGGGTTAGAAAATTTGCATCATGGTTTGTCATCAGTGATGGTATCAACGGTACTAATAATGATATTTTGTGATGTTCAACGGTGTTAGGGAATGTGTCAATTTTCAGGGGATCCTTATCAGTCAGCGATCCAACATTTTCCACAGGATGTTGCAACATCGTGCAGTGATGAAATAACCACTCTAAACGTGAAGTCGATGGATTTTACTGTAACAGACTAAAAAAAGTTCACTGATACCAAAACTACGTTCCACATGGCATCTTTAAGAAACTACTGGTTGTTGGGTTTTGGTGTGGTCTTAAAGAAACTGTTCACAATTATCTGAAAGACCATGAAAGCACTCCTCTTTTTTGCAAGTGCATACGTGTATGAGGTCTGATTTTTCTTCATATACTTCAACCCAAACAATGCATTGCAACAGTTTGACTTACAGAAGCAAAGTTGAAAATCAAATGTGTTCTAATTAAGCCAGACAATAAAGGATTTGCAAAACTGTGAACAACGTCATGTTGTTCACAAAGTATTTTGTTCATAAAAGTCTTGGGAAAGTTAGCTATTTTTTCAGAAAAAAAATCCACTTGTAATGGGTCTGCTATTCATATTTTAAATTAATAAATATTTTTAAATATTCTCTCCTTTCATTTCTAACATGGTAACCCTTGATAGTTATGACCAACATATATAAAAGCTCTTCAGGGTCCTCTAGGACTTTCAAGACTACAAAGAGGACCTGAGACTAATTAGATTTGACAGCCATTGCTACAAAGAAGAGTCAGGGAAGAATTGAACAAGAAGAGAGAGAGAAAGACGGTGTTTTAGAAAGAGCTTTCTAAAAGGTTGCAGTGGCACAGAGAGTAAGACGTGCTGAGAAGAGAATGGAAGTTACAGGGATGGGAAAGGAGACAATTTTTCCGAGGAACACTCCAGAAGTAGAAATGACAAGACTTGCCCATTACCTGCCCACCCTCACCCACCCTCCACTCCCTCACAGCACTGATATGATTTCTAGGTCTGGTTGTTCTGTCGAACGGACAACAAGCTTAATGTGTCCCCAAATAGATCCTCGCATTCTCCCAACTCAAACTTGTTCTCTATAGTCTTCTCCATCTGGAAAAAAGAAAGAAAGAAAGAGAGAGGGAGAGAGAAAATAAATAGCAATTCCATTCTTCCTTTTGATTAGGCCCTAAACCTTGTAGGCATTAAATCTAGCAAGTCGGTCCCATTTCTAAAATGTTCCCATGTAATCCAACCACCTCTCGTCTTCTTCCACTGCCTCTGGGACCTTATCTACCACCCTCCACCTTGCTCATCTCTGTCAGTCACGCCGGCTGTACTGAGCCTTGGCCAGGCTAAGCACATCCACACCGGTACCATTGCCCTAGCTGTTCCCTCTGCTCGCACTGCTCTTTTCCCTAGGTGTCTACATTGCTTGCCTTTGTCACCCTCTCAATTCAGGACTCTGCTCAAACTTCTCCTTGGTGGAGGCAGCTCCCTGCGTCTCTCTGTAATCCACTTGCCCCGCTGTACTCATCTGTTTTGCCCTTATCACCATGTAGTGTGATTTATTTTCACTCATCGCTTGTTGCATTTTGTTTCCCTGCAGTAGCCCGTCAGCTCTCCCAAAGCAGAGATGCTTGAAGTCAGTCTACTCTCCAATACCTAGAATGGGGCCTCGCCTAGGGTAAACACTCAGTATTTATTCGTTGAGCAAATAAATGAATGAATGATTTGGCACCTACATAAATTTTGTTTGTTTATTTTTTGTTTTTGGTATCAGGGATCAAACTTGAGTCTTTGGGCTTATGAGGCAGGCGGTGGCACCACGGAGCTAAATCCCCGGCCCTGGCAACTACATCAGTTTTTATTTAGAGAACAAAGTTTCTAATTCTTCAGCAAAACGCTCTGTCTGACACAATCCCTGGTGGTACCTGGTATAATAGCTAACTTACTGAGCTCTTCCCATGTGCTGCCTGAAGTTTCTCAGGCATGCTCTTACTACCTTTTCCAGTGACGTACAAAGCAGATACCATTATTCCTATTTTACAGATTAGCAAACTGAGACAAAGAGAGATTGAGTAACTTGTCCGGGGTCACACATCTAGATAGTGTTAGAGCAAGGGCTTGAACCAAGCAGCTCATCCAACTGATCCACATTCCTAACCATCTGCCATGATATGAGCGACCAGGAAGAATATAGACATCTGCGTGAATAGATCGGGCTAGGATCTCTGAGGTGCTTCCAGTTCTGTAGGACTGTGACTTTGAGATTCAACCTATTTATAGTTTTTACTGAGCAGCTGACTAGTTAGCTAATTAATTTATCAGATAAGTATCTGGTGGCTGGTCAGTACATGCCAGGCTGTCGGCCAGGCATTCCCCATACACCTTTTCCACTTCCAAGAAGGTGATGTCCATTTTACAGACGAGGACACCGCTGCTCACAGAACTGAGGAATTTACCCAGGGTCAAGAACAAGAGTGCTCTCAGGTCTGCTTGTTCCTAAAGCTCAAGCTTCTTCCCTGCCCTCAGCTTGCTTCCCTTCTAGGGAGGAGGGGGATCGGGGCCTTAGGTGGGCGAGGTTCTGCTGAACTCACTGGAATGCACGCAGGGTGCGAACAGGGCACTGCCTCTAGTCTTGGTGCTTTGTCCTCAGAGGGTGTCTGCTTGGTCCAGTAAAGCTAGAAAAGGAGAATTCTCACTAAAGCCCTTTAATCTTGACCTCCCCTTCCCTCCGGCTTGTTGGGACATTGTCAAACACTGCGACATAATTTATGTCCCTGATCCCCAGGTAATATATCAGCAGGAGCCTTTTACATCGGCCTGCATATTCCTAAGGATGCTTTCCAAGCAGGCATCAAAGAGCGGTCTGCAGAGGGTCAGAAAAGCTCCCTCGGCTACAGCAGGAAAAAGGGCCCAGTTATAATCAAATCGAAAAGATTCTTATCCGGGACTCCAGCGCTGGAGGTGGGGTTTGGAGCCTGGCTGCAAGAAACTCTGATTCGCCTGGAAACAAGGCAGGGTCACGTGTAA